TGCAAGTGTGATTCGTTGCAACACTCGGAATGTGTCTAAAACAATATCTTTGAGCGCAAACAATAAGACAAGGAGCAATCGTCATCATCTCATCATATTGGTATAAGCCATGCACCCTTCTTCGCTCACAGTTGCAGAATCGATTGAAAGGTGTTATATGATGGGGACCTTCGAACGAAACTGTATTGTAGTAGACATAGTGTGTTGTGCTATTCCTGTAACCTAAAAAACAACTTCATTTGCCCAGCGCTTTTTCTTCACGGTTGTCGTTTTTCCGACAGGGTCCCTAACAACAGCGTCATTCTCAGCGAGGTATTAAGGGAGAAGGAGCGAGCGATAGGCAGAGGAGGTGCCTTTGCAGCGCGTGCGCACATGTGGCAGTCTTCTTTGCGGGGATGCACTTTCATTCTTTGTACTGCCTTCAAATACGCCCTTCTCATGAAGGTGGAGGAATGGAGCGACTGAACCTGCAAAGAAAATTTAATATCATGTTTTTTTTCAGATATTTTCATTTTCTGCTGCGCTATACCCTCTTACCTATCTGCACCACGATACCACTGCTGTTACTGACCCCCAAGAGTACGACCCCCCATGACCCAGCCCGACAGGTACGACCCCCCTGTCGAGGATTTCCTCGACCGATATTCACCCTGCTTCGAGCGTTACACAAAATTGAGCGCGATAGCATCGTGTAGCCTGGCAATCTTCCCCTCAGCCCAGCGCGGATAGACCGAGGCAGACTCTAATTTTCAAATGAGTGTAATTCTGTTCAACCTCAATATTTTTCAAAACGCCAAGCAGATTTGTAATCTGCGAGACTGCTAGTTTCAGAAAGACTACCATCTTTGTGCAGTATCTCCCGAACTCCTTTAGTTATGGGGGTGGAAATTTGAAAATTCACAGTTTTACTCAAATAAGAAAGTGTGAGAAGTGTCAAGTAAATTTTGGAACTCCAGACTGTTTTCTTTTCAAAAACTACTTCAACTTTTGTGAAGTTTTTAAAGTTGCCCCGTTGGACCGTTTTGTGCACAACCGGGTTTTTTGGCTTTCAATGACTATAACTTTCTTTAGATTCCAACCTTTTGCAATTCTTGTCCCCCTGGAATAAACTAGAAGGTTAGAGCTTTCTAACGAATACTTGAACTCTTTTCAAAATTGATGGAGTCAAAAAATCGCCCCGTTGGACCGTTTTGGGGAAATCGCGGACCGATTTTTGGCAGAGCGCTGGTTTTTTGGCTTTGAACTGTTATAACTTTCTTCAGATTGACTTTTTGCAATTCTTCTCCGCTTGAAGAAACCAGAAGATTAGAGCTTCCTAACGGACCGTTTCGAAAAATCACCCCGTTGGACCGTTTTTTCCATGAATTTTGCTGAATACCTGAGCTCTTTTCAAAACTGATGCAGTCAATAAATGGCCCGTTGGACCGTTTCGGGGAATTCGCGGACCGATTTTTGGCAGAGCCTTCAGCAGTCGACCTACCCAAGTGTTCTTTTACTACCATAGGTTCAGTTTGAAGGTGTTGTTTCTTCTCAGAAGCATATTTGTGTACGTGAACAGTCACATATGGACACTACTGCAGTAGACTCTTCTGCTCTGAGGTGCGCCATGCACTCGTTTGTGGTTAGTAGTTGGAGAAGCACTCGAAAGTTATGCCTCTCACCTACGTATTGCGACGTTGACCTTTGCAAATACGACCCCCCCCCTTTTGGTCGGCCGAATACGACCTCCTCGTTGGACTTTGTCCAGCGGACGGTTGACCCTGCTCAGTTACCCGACTCCTTAGGAAGCTACTTGGCGTGGACAGCGATAACACAAGATTCCTTTTCCTCGGCTTTGCTCTTGGTATGCTTTTGGTAGGTGGTGCCACATCACTTTGATCCACTCACACCGTTCTAGATTATGATTACTAGAATACAACCTGTAACAAAGTGAGAACAGATGTGAGCGCATAGTGATTGCAGACTGAATAGTACCGCGGGTAGTACCATATCCCTCCAATATTAAGGGAACATCAACGGGATTTTGGTAGTCGGAAGCCGATTGCTCAGCTACCATACAGCTACCATTTCGTCTTATACTGGGGAGACTTGTGAAAGAGTTCTAGGCATCCCAACAGACTGCTCAAACCATATGCAGAAATACGCGGGCATCTCAGAAAGCCGGGTGATGTATGTTTCTCAGCAAGAGAAGCGGTTTAGCCGACTTTAAGAGGTGTTGTTAATGAGGGGATGGAATGGGTGTGTAAGAATGCCTAATTATGAACTGAATTCGTGGTGTTATCTGAAAAAATAAACTACGAACACACCCTGAACAGGGACCCTCCCATTCAATCTTCCTTCACCCTTATTAGGAAAAGGAGCGTGTTTAAAATAGTTTTGTGAACATCTACTCCCAAGTGTTTTTTGCCAGTTGTTGGTTACAATACCGCCATCACAGCGAGATCCTGTTCTATTCAGCTGTTCCTCGAGCAGGGTACCCGAAAACGGGAGGCGGGGCATCGTACAAAGGTGTGCATGCACATCGAGTGAATTTCTAGCGCCTTTGCCGCGCAGTTCCAAGCCGTACGGACACGTCATCAACACTTGCCCGGCCGTTTACCACATTCGAACATGGAACTTCTCAGTGTGCCCAGTCTCGGACCGTGCCGTCACGATGATATTGTGGCACGGCTGCTTCTTTTCGAGTGCACGAGCGCTACATAATCCCCTGACTGCTTTTGTTCCAGGCTAGCACTGGTAATCACGATGTTATTCGAAGGGTATCAATCGGCTGGCTAAGGCCCGCCATCGCGCTACTCAAGACATCAGGGTGGTGAAAAGTGTGAAAGGCAGCGATGGTGTCATCCTAAGGAAGCCAGCCGAAGTCAAGAGGAGGTGGGAAGAGTACTTCACGGGCTTCTGAACGAGGAGTTCCCCCACAAGAACAACTCACGGGCAGAGGCCACAGCTGGTCCCATCGCACTCTGGACTGAGGATGAGGTTAGGTGTGCACTTGGGAGGATGAAGGTTGGAAAGGCGGTTGGCCCAGATGGGGTGCCAATCGAGGCATGGAAGGCGCTCGGAGAGTACGGCATAAGGTGGCTCACCAGCTTCCTGAACAAGGTAACAGTGGAAGGAAAGATGCCGGATGCATGGAGGACAAGTACCATCGTCCCCATCTTCAAACAGAAGGGTGACGCGATGGACTGCTCCAACTACCGCGGGATCAAGTTGACTGCGCATACCATGAAGTTGTACGAGCGACTGGTCGACTCGAACTGCGGGAGCTGGTCCCGATCTCCCAGGAACAGTTCGGGTTCATGCCCGAAAGGTCTACAACGGATGCCATCTTCATCGCAAGGCAAGAAGTATCGAGAAAAGCGCCGACCCTGCTACCTAGCCTTCCTCGACCTGGAGAAGGCGTTCGACCGGCTACCGCGAGCAGTATGGAGGTCGCTCAGGGAACGAAACGTGCCAGAACACCTGATCTCTCTGGTGAAGGACATGTACGAAGGAGCCAAGGCAGCCATACGCACCCCACACGGCCTAACGAAGGAGGTAAACATCACGGTTGGGGTGCACCAAGGGTCAGCTCTGAGCCCCTTCCTCTTCCTCCTAACACTAGATACCATGGTGAAGGGCTCATGGAAGGACCACTGAAGACCATCCTCTACGCTGACGACATCGCCCTGATAGCGGATAGCAGAGAGGAACAGGCCAAGGTGCAGAAATGGCAGAAGTCCTGGCAGAAGGTGGGCTCCGGCTGAATGTCAAGAAGACCAAGTTCCTGAGCTCCGAAGAGGGTGCAGAGCCGATCGTGGACGGCCATGGTGAGACCATCGAAAGAGTGGAGGACTTCCGATACCTTGGGAGCGATCTGGCAGCCGACGGCAGTGTGGATCAGGCGGTGAAGGCTCGGGTCAACGCTGCATGGATGAAATGGAGGGAGTCCACTGGAATCCTCTGCGATCGAAGGTGCTCCAGAACGCTCAAAGGGAAGGTGTACCGGACAGTGGTAAGGCCTGCGATGCTATACGGCAGCGAGTGCTGGCCCCTGAACAAGAATCACGAAAGGCAGCTTCACTCCGCTGAGATGAGGATGCTGAGATGGGCCTGCGGCTGGACGCGGCTGGACAGGGTCAGAAACGAGGATGTCAGAGCGGTCATGCAGACTGCCCCTGTCCAGCTGAAGGTACGGGAACAGCGTCTGCGATGGTATGGGCATGTGCTAAGGAGGCCACAGGATCATCCGATAAGAACAGCGATGGACTTCGAAGTGCAAGGCAAGCGACCGCGAGGAGCCCCAAAGAAGAGGTGGAGAGACGTGATCAAGAAGGACCTAAGTGAAGTCATGGCCACAGCAGAGATGCCCTGGACAGACAAAGTGGCGACGACTGACAAAGACAGCGGACCCTGCGACTGCGCGGGACTAACGCTAGGGAGAAGAAGAAGATTCGAAGGGTATATATCATGTGCGAAGTGGTACACCCATTTGGTCGCACTGGATCTAATAAATTTGCCATACTTCAGTATTCCTGTCATAACTGTTTGACTTTTCAATCAGTCTACGCCCAGTATAATGCTCCGTTCAGCAATCACCCAGTAGTTGAGGTAAAGTGACTCGCGTAACTCCAATTCCACAAAGAAGAATTGAAAACTTCTTGAGGACCGAAGATTTAAAATTTGCGCTCCAAGGTGTTCAGTGACCGAAGTGGGTATGAAGAACTGAGCGTTTCAAGGAAAACAAACTCCCCTCGTCCGCGAAACATTCGAGGATGTTCTGGAGGATTGGGGTTGATTTCAAGTAATTATTCGATGACGGCAGAGATACCTTACACAGTCATGATGGTAGCGGTGATAGTGAGTGTGGCAGGTGAAGCGGTTTCGAGACACCTACTAATAGGTGGGGGGGAGGGTGTAGGAGAATGAAAAGTTTGAAAAACGCGCTACAAACGGTTGACCCTCTGTATGAGTGAGCACTCATTGCTTCTAGCACGTCACCTAATGAAGGAACGGTCTCCATGCGAGTAGCAAAACAACTTCAATTTTTCAGCAATGACAAGACGGGACTTCAATTTTGTAGGAAACTGGATCACTTCATTATGTCTAGTGGAATCCACTGGTATACTTTGTTTCGATCTTTCCAACTTTTACCCGCTTGGTTGCTTTTTTTGGTATTTCAGCTTTGTGGCTGCTGCGCTGTTACCGAACAATTGTAACCATTTTTTTTTTGAAATGAGAAGTAGCGCTCTACTCCAAAGTATCATTAACGTACACAACAAGGTTTTTCGGCGAGCGACTTTTTGGATAAGTTTGAAGTAAGCACGGTGCCAGTGCTGGTATGTATGCAGATGACGTTTTGCAGAGAAGCAAACTTTCTGAGCAAGACCAACGTTGGAGGTCACGAAAAGTCATTACCCTAGCCATTTTCTAGGGATTCTACCAATTTTGGTAGCATTCGAAACGGTCACTTAGCCTCTTCCCTACTATACAGGGTGGACCAAGACATCGTGTCGTTAAAAACGCATAGTAGCTTGATGGAACAAACCAACTTCTGGGAAGTATTTGTAACTCTTACCTCAAAGTAATTCCAGAATAGAATTGAGATCTGCCACTTCCCCCGTTAACACGAGCCTTCGGATGAAGGGGATGGCGCGTGCGGTGGCACGCAACTAAGGCGTGTCCAAATGTTTCCAGGCCTTCTGCTCTGCCTTCTTCAGGGAATCAAACTTTTGTGTTGCATTTATTTGCGCTTGCATCCAGGGTGTAAAATACAGAAATCTAGAGCTATTAGGTGGAGGTTCCATTGTAACAATTCTTCGAAAGCAACGAACTCGAAAAATCGCTTTTAGAGGATTTTTGCTTTATTCTTGGTGCTCGGTCCTGTTAAAAGTTCTAAGTGAGACGTAAGCAAACCAGCCCTTTTGGCGCTTCGGCTGGGACCGTATGCTGAATGTTGGGGAGGGGATGGAGTCCCCGACGGTGGACGGACCACTTCAACTCGGTCCTTAGAACCGCCACAATTTGGTGCTTACCTCAGAACTAAGCCTTAAAGAGAGGACGGGTCCGTCCCCTCTCCAAGGCTTAGTCCTGGGGTGAGCAAACCAGCCCTTCTGGCGGAGCTGCTGGACCAGCTGCACCACTTGCGTCAGTACTCTCCTATCGTACCAACCGAGTTGAAGTAAACCGTCGACCGTTGGGGACCCCATCCCCTCCCCAACATTCAGCATACGGTCCCAGCCGAAACGCCAAAAGGGCTGGTTTGCTTACGTCTTCTAAGTAACTACTCATGTGGCTTTCTATCCACTACAGATGTGGAGTCTTTAGAGTCTGGCTGGGTTTTCACATCAATTTTTTCATTTTGGGTGTACGAAAGTCGACAAGGGGAGACCTAGTTTCTGCATCTGATAATTATCCTGGTGGTAACTGTAACTTTCGAGTCCCCGAATTTTCCATCTGTGGTGGTTCCAAACTTATTGAAGAGTTGAACTGTTGCTCATAAGAGCTTCCTGATAGGTTAGACTGCTGCTAGATGTAACGTGCCAGAGCCCCTAGTGAGTTCAATTTGAGGACTGACTAAAGTGAAGTAGTTATTTCACTAGTTTTGAGAACTTCATGAAATTTGGTTTCATTAGGAAGAAGACATTGTACCCTTTCACATAGTGCACAGAAAACGAGATGAAAATGGAGCGATACGGAAAAAAGTGGATATGACTGCGCGCGCACGCGGTCCTCATAATTTTGGACCACCCTGTACATGGAAGCTATGTATGTCCATTTGTGTGTATGTGTATGTAGTGTCACGAAATTCATAGCGCGCTTCGTAAAAGAATTGGAGCGCCGTTTTGAACGCGATGTAGCGCATGGAACGGGAACATTCACTGCGACGCATAATCATACTCCCATCTACAAATTCCGAAAAACTGCATCTGAAGATGTTTTCGAAAAAGGCTCTACAGGGGAATTGTGGGACATATAAACGCTTTTTTGAATATCAACACAGAATTCCAGTTCGAGGAAGCAACAATTTCTTATTTTCATTTTTATGAAACAACAAATTTTCTTTTTCTTTTTATGAAGTATTCGCTCTGTCTATGGCGCAAAATCATACTTCCATCACGGTTTCTGCACTGCACTTTATTTTTACCCAATCAAATTTTGTGAGGGAGAGACATGCATGCCTCAAGAGATCAGCTGATCCGAGCACGGTAGGTCGAGGAGGCGGTGGTTGTTGATCGTGGGTGGTCATGGGAGACCGCCTTGCCAGAGGCAACTGATTGGCGCGGGAAGGTCCCAATAAAAGGGGTCCGGTTCCTTTGTAGTATCTCCAGTTCCAGCTCCAGAGCTCCGGTGTTCCAGAGCTCTGGCTTTCCTGAATCCAGCGTTCCAGTGTTCCAGTGGCATCTTTTGGTGCCTTAGGGGTGTAGTTGGTTGTGAGTTGCAACCTATGAAAGGGATTGCGCCGTGCACCTGGTTGCTGCCATCGGCTCGGTGGTCCCGTCCCATCGATACAACCCGCCTCCGATCGCCCCGTGATCTTTGTTGTTTGTATATTTGTTGTTGGGTTTTCGAATCTAAATAAACATTCCTTTCCACTTGCCTCTAGCACAGTTAGCAAGGGTCACTCCGCAGACGACAGCAAACGAATCCGTCTGTCTACAATTTTAAATTATTCTCCCTTTTGTTGGTTAGGTTATTGAAAAAGCACAACCGCCGCCAGCATTCCGTAAAGGTAAAATCTTAGCAAAGGAGGCGCACCAATTGCCGATGAGTCATTCACGGCGGAAATTTTTTGGGGTTATCTAATAAGGAAAAATTTTGTTGAGGATCCTACAGTATATGTTTTTGTAAGGAACCCTGACTTTCTTATGATAACGCTAAGAGCGTTATCATAAGAAAATAATACAACTTCATCAAGCCTGTTACGAAAACCAGAATTTCTTCAAAGTTAATGTCTCGATGGACGCAGTGTGACAAGAAATTCTAGAGAAGAACGAGCCATTTTCCTTTGAAGGTTTCGCCAAGTCGAGTAAAGGGGTGACACTTTCTAAGAGTGATTGATGTCTTTGACCATACTACTGTTATTTTTCTTTTCCACTTATGTTTGCTGCAAAGTAAGACGCTGTGAGAAAGAAAAACGTTGAGAGAAAGAAAGACACAAATCAAAAATCACAAATGAATGAGTGTCACCACTTCACTCGGACTTGCGAAATTTTCTAAGAAAGTTGACTTGGTTTTTCTCTCTGATTCTTCTAGCAAAGTATACACTGCGTTTCATAATTATAGGTCCACCCTAAATTTTTGCTACCCCAAAGTTGCTGTGCATTTTTTGGAAATGCTGCTATCACCGTTAGATTCCTCATCACGGAAAACCTTCATAGTGTTTTTCTGACAAAATTCCCCCTCAAGTAACCCAATTAACTTTTTTAGAACGAATTTTCACCGTTTCATGAATATCGGGCCACTCATAAAAAGTTTCCATTTCTCACGATCCGTGAAGGGAATCAGGGAAGCGGGGAAATATGTGGGCTCAGTCGACATCGAGTTTACCATACCTCGTGTTATTCGCCTCTCTTCCCAGTAACAAGCTCAAGCTAGAGCACTTACTGAAGTGGGATAGCTGAGGAGCAGAATTTCCTCCCATGTCGGCCGGCTCATACTGCATAAGCGACTATGTGCAAAATCCTGGTCAGTGCGGAGAGAAGAGTCGCTTAGGTAAATAAAGACTGCGTTTCCTTCAAAATTTAGGAGGAATTGGGTGTCTTCTCTCGAATTATACAAGGAGTCCGAACAAAGTCCGTACTGAAATGCGGCCTTCCGTGAGCAAAACCACCGTGTGGTGAGTAAGCCAGCAGAGCAATAACATCTTCAACGGATTGATGAAGAGCGTTCCAAGATTATTTGAGCGCTACAAGATCGCAAGTCTCCATTTCTCCGTGGAAAAGGGCTCAACTTAATGAGCGATGGTGTGGCTGTTAAGACCCTTCGCGATCTTGGACTCTACCTCCTTGTTTCGTTCTACAGGTGGTCTGAGATCGACGTGGAAAAGTTTATTCTAGGTGGATATGGCAGAAAAAGAGGGTACAGGATGATCGCGTGAAAATCGCAGATGGTTTCAATGTAACGTAATTTCGGCGGTGAATCCCTTATGGTTTGAGGCACCTTTGAACGACTGAGTAGCTAGAGCTCGCTTTTGTTTCCGTTCACAAAGATTCCACAGGGTATCGTGAAGTTCTTTCGAAGCGAGTCTTACCATTTTTTCAACAAGGATCCCCTCTATCCTTGATTTTCACACACGATAACGCGGCTGTCCATGCCGGTCCCTCCGCGCCAGATGGAATTGCAGGAAAAAATGTGGCAGTTATCTGGTGGCCACCATGTTATCTGAATTAGATTCCAATAGAGAATCATTGGGCCTTAATTGTTATAAAGTTCCACAGCAAAGTAAAGCAAAATGGAACAGCCGAAAAGCTGAAAAGGTCGATCATCGGCGCCCAGACGAATTTCGATCCTACTGTAATAGCTAATTTGGCTACCAGCATTTCAAAACGTATTATTGTGTTCCTTATGATTATTGGGGGGTCATCCCATTATTGAAAATTCGTGACGTTTTTTCGTTATAGTAAAATCTCTCGACAAGTGATGTGTAGTCATATTTGCGAAACGGTGAAAATACGTTCTAAGGAAGATATTTTAATAATTCTGAATCGAGATTTCTCCAGAAATCAAGTATCAAGGTTTTTCGTTATGGGGAAACTATTGGTAATAGCGGCATTTTCCAAAAATGCACAGCAACTTTGGAATAGCAAAAAATTAGGGTGGACCTATATTTATGAAACGCAGTGTATTTGTTATTTTCC